CGACAGTTCCATTGGATTCAAAGAATGAATTTAAGTCTAGGAGAGGTCTTGGTTGAAATTTAGAGGTCCCGAGCTTACGTTATGGTCGTTTCTTGACTTTTATGGGTTTCGAGTTAAGGAGACCTAGGATTCATATTTTGATGGTTCCATTGAGTCCAAAACATAAAGTTTAGTCTTGTTGCATATTTGGTTTGTGTGAAAGGGATTCCAAACCAATCTCGAGGGTCATTTCGGAAATATTTTATGCCTTGTCTGATTGTTGGTTTGTTGTTTCTAGTTTAGTATTAATTATTTTTCGCAATCGCGTGGAGTTAAGAGTGACATCTTGAGAGTTCTTCAGAGTTGTTTGAGAAAGTCCCTTTGAATCTTTTCGAGGAATCTTCTACAATTACTTATAAATTGTTTCAAGACTCGAGCAAGTGTTTATGAGAATGAGGAGGATGTATTCATGAGTCTACATTATCATCACGAGATCCTTTATATCATGAATCATAATTCTTGAATTCATAATTCATATTCAAGAGAGAGTTAAGAGTAGAGTTCAAGAAAGTCTTTGAGTTTAATTATGAATTCTTTGAGATCAACTATCGATTTGAACTATGTTTTGAGGAAGTAAGTATGAGAATGATAAGATTCGTATACATGAGTTCCATATTGCTATGTAGACCCTCGAGTCGAGTCGTTCATGACCATAAATTCTGCATGAACTTCATAAATTTAGCATCTTTGAGAGGAGTAATATCTATAAGTTCTAAGTTCGATCTTGAGCATTGAGTTCCTAATCCCTTTTGAGATTATATTTCTAATCATGGGACTATTACATGTTACCCATGAAGTTCTTGAGTTGAGTTGTTCATGCCCATAATTCCGCATGAACCCTATGAGTTGAACATTCTCGATATGAGTAGTATCATGAAGTCCTTGAGTTGAGTTGTTCATGCACATAATTCCACATGAACCCTCTGAGTTGAGCATTCTTAGTATCATTGAAGTTCTTGAGTTCCGAGCTTTGAGTCCTATGTATGGTTATTGAAAACCTTGAATTGAGTCGTTTATGTCCATAATTCGCATGAACCCTATCTTGGGAACTATTTTACAAATTTTTCTAAACTTGTTTTAAAACTTTAGCAGTTGAGTTTAAGAAAGAGTAGAGTTGAGTTCATTTTCTTTAAAATGATAGATGAGAACTAAGTATTCCCCAGAGTAAATGTTTTCACATTTAAGATAAGAGGAAACCCCGATTTCCAAAAAAGTTTTTTAGCAGTTCTGAGTATCATCTACTTTAAGAGAAAAACTTTTTAGTAATAATCTGAAAACACAAAAAATGTTATGTTTTTAAACATATGAGCTAGTTATATTTTTGTAAGTAGTATTAAGCATCGATATGGGGACGAGTTCAGATAACTCAAAGTCCTCATAAACCATGTAGCCAATATGGGTAGAAAGGGTCATACTTTTTAGATGATTCCTTGATGCTTTTTAGCATAGACTAGTGGATCCACTTAGTAGTATGTTATATACCCTGACAAAGTATAGGACAATTCTGGCAGCGTGGGCTAGACGTTGTATCATCACTTAGCTCATAGTGATGGTTGTCGGTTAGAGAATCTCCCATAGATTTTATTTCATATTTTCATATACAAACAAAGTTATTTTGTATCCTTGCATACAAACTGAGTTATTATTGTATTCTTCAATACATTGAGTTGTTGTATACTATTTTAAAAGTTTTCCATATTTTGCATCTTTTATTGTTGCCTTATCTTGGGTTGAGTAATCCAGAGTTAAGTATCTTATTATTGATTTGAGCACTATTTCTCTTAGTTCAGTTAAACTATGTTTCACAGAGTCGAGTATCTTATTATTGAGTTGAGCTCTATTTCTCTGAGTTGAGTTGAAATATGTTTCACTGAATTGAGTATCTTATCCTTGAGTACTTCTAAGTGAGTAAATTTGAGTATTCCTTGGGTTGAGTTGAGTTGAGTTGAGTTGAGAAGAGGTAAGTATGTTGCTTTTCCATCAGTTCAAGCTTATGTTTATGCTTTAGAATTCCCCTTACATGCTCGTACATTCCATGTACTGATGCCATTTGGCCTGCATCGTTTAATGATGTAGATACAGGAAGCTGTAACACCTCTCAATTTGAAATAGCTAGGACGAAGCTAAGAATTTGAAATAGTCATTTCTGGAAATAGTGACAAATCTGGAATTTGTTTAAGTAAGTTAAAGTGAGTTTTTGGTCAACTTCAAATGATCATTACTCCTACATCAGGATGCTTTAGGTGTAGTTCAAGATACGGTAGGAAAGCTCTTGGAATGAGGGAGTTATCTCCTTTGGAAGTTGGGCCACTGGATTAAGGAAATGTCCAATCCGGAATTTTAAGGGGTATTTTAGTCTTTTCATTTCCCTATTATTTTAATCCATTTTTAGGAGTTTAATATGGGTCAAATCAGATTTTAGTCAGTTTTATAATTTGGGATTTCAAGCTAGGGCTAAGGAGAAAGGAGAAGAGAAACGAAGAAGGAGAAAAAAAGGCCAAATTCATCATGATCGATCAAGAAAGTTGGTGTTTCGCCAAGGATTTACTTCTATTAGGTATGAGAGGCTCTCATTACGTTGGGATCGTTCTCCCACGTGCCAAGCATATTAATTTCAGTTTGGATTCCACCTAAAAGAATTTGAATATTGATGATCTTGATATCTATTCTTGAATTCATATATTGTTCTAGAATTTGACTGAGTTGGGATGTTTCTGAGTTCGTTATGTCAAATCATAGAGTCGTTTCGAGTAATGTTCTTAGGTACATTTGCTGGGTATCTGTATCTAAAAGTAATTTGAGTAAAAGAACCGAGTTTGGGTGAAATAGGGTTGGAAAAGGAAGAAGAAATTTCATCGTATAAAATTAGAGGGTGGCCGCGCGTCGCGCGCCTAGTGCCCAAATTTGAAAAATTCTTCTCTACGTCGCGGAGCTGACACGGAGCATTCTGCCGGAAAAGACATTTTTGAAACCAAAATTTAATTATGCCTCCGCGTCGCGGACCCACCTTCAAATCTTGATTTTTGGTTTTTTTTCTCATGTTTGGCTATCTAAAATCATTTCTAAACAACATGACATCTTTCCAAACCCAAATCTTAATCCTTGAATCCATAATTCAATTCAAAGATCAGTTAAGAGTCAAGTCAAAATCAGTTACTAGTCAAGTTAAGATAAGTTCTTAAAGTTTTCCAAGAGTCTTTAACAAATGTTTTAACTTTGTTTTAAGATTTAAGTTTTGAGTTCAGTACAAATGTAAAGTTGAAGTTCTTTTCTTCAAAGAAGTATATGGGGACTATGTATTCCCAAAGAGATTTTAAAATGTTTTCATATTTAAATAAGAACGGAAAATGAAATTTCAAAAGAGACTTCGGGCTAGTTTTCAGAAAAGGGTAATAACTTTCTAAATGAAGGAAGAAGGGAAACTGAGATTTCCAAGATAGCCTTTGAGCTAAGTTTTTCACCACTAATCTCAACACACAGAAGAAGTGTGTTTTTTTTTAAAACATAAGAGCTAGTATATTTTGGGAGTAGTATTGAGAATCGAATTGGGGGCTAGCATGAGTTCAGATAGCTCACGTCTCCATAAAATGATGTAGCCACCATGGGTAGAAAAGGGTCATCCTATTTAGATGAGCCCTTTTCACAATAGACTAGTGGATACACTTAGTAGTTCAGGTCTTATACATGTGGCAAGGTATAGGATGCTCTGGCAGCATGAGGAAGATCGTTGTATCATCACTATAACTCTTAAGTGATGGTTGTCAGTTAGAGAAACTCCCACAGAAGTTATGGTATTTTTATATACATCAGTTTATTGTATTTTTACATACATTTCAGATATATGTTGTATCCTTGTATATACACATAGTTGACATCACATTTTTAAACAACTCTTCTTTATATTGCAGTTGTTCTAAACTGCTTTCTATTGAAATGAGTTCAGTTAAGTATTCATGAGTTAAGAAGAGCCAAGGTAAATGTTTCTTTCAGATTCCCTTTCAAGCCTATGTTGTTTTAGCATTCCAACTCGTATTCTCGTATATTCAATGTACTGATACTAGTTGGCTTACATCGTCTTATGATGCAGACACATTTAAATAAGATCAGCATTCTAGTGCACCGTTGATCCAGTGAGCAGTTCAAAGTCAGTCGGTGAGCCTCCTTGCATTCTGGAGGATCTATTTCATTGCTTTCTAGTTAGTTCATTAGGATGTTATGGGATTGTCCCAACATCTATCTCAATTGTTTAAGAGGCTTCATAGACAGTCAGATGTTAGTCCTTTGAGTCTTTTCATTATCATTTCTTATTGTTAAGACTTGAGTTGCCACTTTTGGCCAAGTTAAATGTGTAACTTTTAAACGTTCTCAGTTATTTTACTATTCAGTTCAGTTAAGTGTTATTGATCATTATAACTATTAATGTTGCCTTCCGCTGAGTTAAGTAAGCCAGGCCAAGGGTTCACTTAGGGCCAGCAATGGTCTTCGAGTGTCAGCCACGTCCAGGGTAAAGGGTCGGGGCATGACAAACTAGGTATCAGAGCCTAGAGTTCAAGAGTCCTAGAGAGTCTAAGAAGTTATGTCTGTAGAGTCCTGGTTATCGGTGTGAAGCGCATCATATCTATAATTAGGAGGCTGCAACATTTAGGAATTCATTCACTTCTTTCACACTCATTTCATGCGTTAGAGTTTATCTTTAAAATGTTTCCTCTAATTCGTGCCTGAGCGTGTTTCTGACAATCATGCCTCCATAAAGAGCAGTTAGAGGTCGTCTAGCTAGGAGGAATGTTGAGGAACAGGAGTTAGCCAATGCCCTTGAAGTGCAACCGCAAGGAGAAATTACTAATGTTGAGTTCAGAGAGGCTATAAGGATGCTCAGTCAAGTTGTGACCAACCAAGCTGGGCAGTAGAGAGGAGCTCAACAAGACGAGGCTGACACTTCAAGGATTCGTGAGTTCTTGAGGATGAATCCCACAAGTTTCACTCGTTCGAGCACTGCAGAGGATCCAGAGAACTTCATTGAAGAACTAAAAAAGGTGTTTGATGTGATGCATGTTACTGATACTGTGAGAGTTGAGCTAGCTACATATCAGATGAAAAATGTTGCTAGGACTTGGTTTGATCAGGGGAAAGGGGGTAGAGCTGAGGATACACCACCTGCGAGTGGGGCATGTTTTGAAGAGGCTTTCTTGGGGCGTTTCTTTCCCCAAGAATTGAAAGAGGCTAAGGTACGGGAATTTTTCTAACACTTAAGAACAATAGGGCTAGGACAGGGAATGAGTCTGGGCAACTGAAGAGTAATGCCAACCGGTCATCACTCCAACAGAAACAGAAGGTCCCTGGTCCATCATCTACTAGTGCACCTGCACCTAAGAACAAAGGTGAGTAGAATAATCAAAACTTCAGAGCTAAACCTACTTTTTTCTCAAGGTAGTGTGGCACACTGGGATAGTAAGCCTCCTGCCTACACCAACTGTGGTAGGAACCACTCAGTATTTGTCGTGAGGGCTCTACTAGTTGTTTAAAGTGTGGTCAAACTATGCATTTCATGCGAGATTGTCCAAAGAACCAGCAAGAAAATGGTAATGGGGGCAATAAAGCCCAATCTTCGTCAGTTGCTCTACCAGACTGGGCTTCACCTAGAGGAGCTACTTTCGGTATTGGCGGATGAGCAAATCGCCTCTATACTATCAACAGTCGCCAAGAGCAAAAGGATTCGCCAGATGTTGTCACTAGTATGATCCAAGTCTTGGACTTTACTGTTTATGCTTTGCTAGACCTAGGAGCGAGTTTATCTTTTGTAACTCCTTATGTTGCTATGAACTTTGATGCTATTCCTGAGCAGCTTAGTGAACCATTCAGTGTCTCTACGCCTGTTGGTGATTCTATTCTAGCAGAAAGAGTTTATCGTGATTGTCCCATTTCGTTAACCACAAGAGTACCATGGCTAATCTAGTTGATTTAGACATGGTAGATTTTGATGTAATTCTTGGTATGGACCGGCTTCATGCCTGTTATGCCTCAGTTGATTGTAAAACTCGAGTTGTCAAGTTTCAGTTTCCAAATGAGCCAGTCTTAGAGTGGAAAAGTAGTTCAGCAATGCCTAAGGGTCAATTCATTTCGTACCTTAAGGCAAGGAAGTTAGTTTCTAAAGGGTGTGTCTATCACCTAGTCTGAGTTAATGACTCAAGTATTGAGGTACCTCTTATTTAGTCAGTTCCAGTAGTAAAAGAGTTTCCAGAAGTCTTTCCTGATGATCTTCCTGGAGTCCATCCTGAGAGAGAGATAGACTTCGGTATAGATATTCTTCCAGATACTCATCCCATATAAATTCCGCTATACAGAATGGCACCAGCAGAGTTGAAAGAGCTTAAAAAGTAGTTGAAGGATCTTTTAGATAAGGGGTTTATTTGACCAAGTTTCTCACCTTTGGGCACTCCGGTCTTATTTGTGAGAAAAAAGGATGGTTCCCTTAGGATGTGTATAGATTACCGTCAGTTGAACAAGGTTATCATCAAGAATAAGTATCCTCTTCTGAGAATCGATGATCTTTTTTATCAGCTTCAGGGTGCTTTCTGTTTCTCAAAAATTGACCTCAGATCAGGTTATCATCAGTTAAAACTAATGGAATGTGATATTCCAAAGACAACATTCAGGACCCGTTATGGTCACTATGAGTTTCTGGTCATGTCGTTCGGTGTGACCAATGCACCTGCAACTTTCATGGACCTTGTGAATAGAGTCTTCAAACCTTATTTAGATATGATTGTTATCGTCTTCATTGATGGCATACTAATATATTCAAGGAATGAAGAAGATCATGCTAGTCATCTGAGAATAGTTCTTCAGACATTGAAAGATAAGGAGTTATATGCTAAGTTCTCAAAATGTGAGTTTTGGCTTGAGTCTGTGCCGTTCTTAGGCCACATAGTTTCCGGTGATGGAAGTAGAGTTGATACCCAAAATATAAAGGCAATGCAGAGTTAGCCTAGACCCACATCTCCAACTAATATTAAGAGTTTCTTGGGTTTGGCTGGATATTATAGAAGGTTCGTAGAGGGGTTCTCGTCTATTTGGTCCCTTTTGACCAAATTGACTCAGAAAATAGTTAAGTTTCAATAGTCTGAAGCTTGTGAGAAAAGCTTTCAGGAATTGAAAAAGAGGTTAACTACTACCCAAGTATTGACCTTACCAGAAGGTACACAAGGTTTTGTGGTGTATTGTGATGCATCTAGAGTTTGATTGGGTTGTGTGTTAATATAGAATGGCAAAGTTATAGTTTATTCCTCCAGACAGTTGAAAGTTCATGAGAAGAACTACCAAACCCATGACTTAGAATTGGCTGTTGTAGTATTTACTTTGAAAATATGGCGCCATTATCTTTATGGTGTTCATGTGGATGTGTTTACCGATCACACGAGCCTTCAGTATGTGTTCACTCAGAAGGAGCTCAATCTCAGACAGAGGAGGTGGTTAGAATTACTCAACGATTATGACATGAATATTCTTTACCACCTAGGTAAGGCTAATATTGTTCCTGATTCTTTAAACAAGTTGTCTATGGGTAGTACTGCCCATATTGAGGAAGAAAAGAGAGAGTTAGAAAAAGATGTGCATAGACTTGCACGCCTGGAAGTCAGACTTATGGATTCCACAAAATGAGGAGTAGTGGTGATGAATGGGGCTGAATCATCATTAGTGTCAGAAGTAAAAGGCAAGCAAGACCAAGACCTTATTTTTCTTGAATTGAAGACAAATGTTCATAAGCAAAATGTATTAACTTTTGAACAAGGGGGAGCTAGTGTACTAAGATATCAAGGTAGATTGTGTGTACCAATGTTGGATGGACTCCAAGAGTGGATCATGGAGAAGGCTCATAGCTCCAGATATTCCATTCATACGGGTTCCACAAAGATGTATCGCAATTTGAAAGAGGTGTATTGGTGGAATAGTATGAAGAAGGGCATTGCAAAATTTGTTGCTAAGTGCCCAAATTGCCAACAAGTTAAAGTAGAGCACCGAAGGCCCGGTGGTTTGGCTCAGAATATAGAACTTCCGGAATGGAAGTGGGAGATGATTAATATGGACTTCATCATAGGTTTATCAAGGTCTCGCAGGCAGCATGATTCTATTTGGGTGATTGTCGACAGAATGACAAAATCAACCCACTTTTTGCCGGTAAAGACTACCCATTCAACAGAGGATTATGCCAGGTTATATATTCAGGAGGTGGTAAGACTTCATGGAGTCCTAGTCTCCATTATTTGAGATAGAGGTGCATAATTTACTGCACAGTTCTGGAAATCTTTTCAGAAAGGCTTGGGTTCAAAGGTGAACTTAAGTACTGCCTTTCATCCTCAGACTGATGGGCAAGAAGAGCACACTATTCAGACTTTAGAAGATATGTTGAGGGCTTGTGTGATTGATTTCAAAAGGAATTGGGATGATCACCTACCTCTCATTGAGTTTGCTTACAACAACAGTTATCACTCTAGCATCCAAATGGCTCCTTATGAAGCTCTTTATGGGAGAAGATGCAGATCTCCTATTGGATGGTTTGAAGATGTTTAAGCAGGGTTGATACGACCAGATTTAGTCCATCATGCTATGGAGAAGGTGAAAGTGATTCAAGAGAGGTTGAAAATGGCATAAAGTTATCAAAAATCCTACACTGATGTCAGGAGAAGGGCGTTAGAGTTCGAAGTAAATGATTGGGTACATCTAAAAGTTTAACCCATGAAGAGTGTTATGAGGTTTGGTAAGAAGGGGAAACTTAGTCCCCCACATATTGGACCTTATCGAATATCCAAGAAGATTGGCAAGGTAGCCTATGAGTTACAGCTACCACAAGAGTTGGTCGCGGTTCATCCGGTGTTTCACATCTCTATGTTGAATAAATGCATGGCCGATCCTTCATTGATCATACCAACTGAAAATATTGTGATAAAACATAGCTTATCTTATGAGGAGATTCCTGTTCAGATTCTAGATCGCCAAGTTCGCAAGTTGAGAACAAAAGAGGTAGCATCATGCAAAGTCCTTTGGAGGAACCAATTTGTTGAAGAAGCTACTTAGGAAGCTAAAGAGGATATGAAGAAGAGATATCCACATCTCTTTGAATTCGAAGAAAATGCAGACCAAGGTACTAATTCTCTTCTTAGTACTCTTTAAATTATGAGTGAGCATGTTGTTTGTTTGCATTTGCTTGTTGGATGTTTGAACTTGATATTACCACCCTTAACCCAGTAGGAGTAATTTCATTCAAGGATGAATGTTCCCAAGGGGGAGATATTGTAAGATCTAGCAATTTGAAATAGCTAGAAAGAAGCTAAGAATTTGAAATAGTCATTTTTGGAAATAGTGACAAATATGGAAATTTGTTTAAGTTAAAGTGAGTTTTTGGTCAACTTCAAACGATCATAACTCCTAGATCAAGATAAGTTAGGTGTAGTTCCAGATTTGGTTGGAATGATCTTTCCAACGCCGCCAAGTTGGTATGATTTCGAGTTCATATGAGTGAGTTATCCCCTTTGGAAGTTGGGATGTTGGATTAAGAAAATGTCTAATACGGAATTTTTACGGGTATTTTAGTCTTTTCATTGCCCTATTATTTTAATCCGTTTTTAGGAGTTTAATCTGCGTCAAATAAGATTTTAGTCAGTTTTAGAATTTGGGATTTCACGCTAGTGCTAAGGAGAAAGGAGAAGAGAAAAGAAGAAGGAGAAAAAAAGGGCAAATTCACCAAGATCGATCAAGAAAGTTGGTGTTTCGCCAAGGATTTACTTCTATAAGGTATGTGAGGCACTCATAACGTTGGGATCATTCTCCCACGTGCCAAACATATTAATTTCAGTTTGGATTCCACCTAAAAGAGTTTGAATATTGATGATCTTGATATCTATTCTTGAATTCATATATTGTTCTTGAATTTGACTGAGTTGGGAAGTTTCTGAGTTCGTTACGTCGCATCATAGAGTCGTTTCGAGTAAGGTTCTTAGGTACATTTGTTGGGTATTTGTATCTAAAAGTAATTTGAGAAAAAGAACCGAATTTGGGTGAAATAGGGTTGGAAAAGGAAGAAGAAATCTCATCGTATAAAATTAGAGGGTGGCCGCGCGTCGCGCGCCTAGTGCCCAAATTTGAAAAATTCTACTCTGCGTTGCGGAGCTGACACGGAGCGTTCTGCCTCAAAAGACGTTTTCGAAACCAAAATTTAATTATGCCCCCGCATCGCGTACCCACCTTCAATTCTTGATTTTTGGTTTTTTTTCTCATGTTTAGCTATCTAAAATCATTCCCAAACAACATGAGTTCTTTCCAAACCCAACTCTTAATCCTTGAATCCATAATTCAATTCAAGGATTAGTTAAGAGTCAAGTCAAGATCAGTTACTAGTCAAGTTAAGATAAGTTCTTAAAGTTTTCCAAGAGTATTTCACAAATGTCTTAACTTTGTTTTAGGACTTAAGTTTTGAGTTCAGTAAATAAGTAAAGTTAAAGTTGTTTTCTTGAAAGAAGTATATGGGACTATGTATTCCCAAAGAGATTTAAAAATATTTTCACATTTAAATAAGAACGAAAACTGAGATTTAAGAGCCTTCGGGCTAGTTTCCAGAAAAGAGTAATAGCTTTCTAAATGAAGCAAGAAGGAAAACTGAGATTTCCAAGATAA